TATCTACTGAGTGGTGAGCAAGCGCTTGTTCAAGGCACAAAGTGCCGATAAGCAAGTTTCAAAGACTTACAGAACTCAAACAATCGTCTGTCAATATGATCCATCTTTGCTTGGAATCCGAACTGGGGAGGCAGCATTTTCGGGTCACCAGCTATCAGGATTTGTGGAGTGTCTGGAAAGGAAACCGGAGAACCTGTCATCAATACTGGCGATGAAGTATTTCCCCATCCTCCTTCTAGCTCCATGAGCGAAACAGTCCCATTTGGCGCGTAAGACACGTCAGGCCCAGGGTTAACCAGAGTTATTATGGTTGGAGGGCGACTAGCACTGTGTGATCGCGTTACGTTGGGCGTTATGTCCTCAACGTCATCCTCTGATGGGAGTGGTACAGGGCCAGACGGCCGTCTCGATGGAGCTCGCGAAGGCCAGTTGAATTTAACATACCCATCCACCTGTCCATTCTCAGGGCGAGCAAATCGAGGATAGGCACGCACAAGCAGTCGGTCCTCGTTCGCGGTGAACGGACTCTCAACGATCCCTTCTACAGGTGCCAGGCGTCTCTTTTTCGAGTCTTGCAATTTGACGGCCCGCTCTGGAAGAGCATTGGGCACCGCAGGCAAGAGGCGAGGCAGCCGCTGTACCTGAGAGCGAGGTGGTTCAGGTTGAGGTTGAGGTTGAGGTTGAGGTTGGTGATCTACACGGAACGTCAGCTCAAGAATCGGAGACCACGATGGATGCGACGATGAGTGTCAACCAAGAGGGGGAAGAGGACGAATTCAGTGTACTCTGAACCCGCACGTCCTCCGAAAGAAACGTTTCGGCGCCTTGAGTCCCCAATGTGGACACAATAGGTATAGAAAGAGTGAATGTGCAAACGAGAAAAGGACAAGAAGACATGAGAGGGAGGTGATCTTCACAGCCTTACCTGGGGGTTTATGGACCCAGGAGTCGATGCCGCAGCTGTTAATAATATCTTCCTGATACAAACATAATAGGGCATTTCCGTCCTCACTATTAGGGGTCATCGGATGGTATACCACGTCTCCGTCACTGTTTCTTTTAGTCATGGTAAGAAGTAATGGCAGGTGTGGACCTCGGCAGAGACAACAGGTTAGGCTGATTTTGCCCTCGGAAAGAGAACCGGGTATGTTTTTCGCTCGTTCAGTGACTTTGCACCAGATGGGCAGGTGGCAATTGGTTCGTAAGGGAATGAAAAGTCAAATTTTGTGACAGTGCACTTTGCAGCCAGGCAAGAAATGAAGAGACAAGACAATGTGAAGGCGTCAAGGCAGCCGCAGGACCAGCAAGGGATCAATGTTGATTTTAAGGTGGGAAATGCTTTGGCGACCCGAGATCCTAGCAAAAGCAAATCCGATGACTGGTCGCGTGTACATCTAGCAGTGGGGACGGGCTGTAAGACCCCTTGCGATTTTGACCGGCTTTGCCAGATGCATCCATGACCCTGTCTGCCCGTTTGCAAGTTGACCCCATCGAGGCAAGGCATTGTCACATTAGCACAACTATGTACCATTAGGGCTGGTAATTCAAAGAGACAGGGCTGCTGGGATCTACGATTTCGTGCCATCGCCTCAAACGCACTGTCAACAAATCCCTGAGACACAGGTCAATCAGCTTGTGGCAAAACATCCCGAGTCACCCCATATGCCAAGTCCCCATTGAACAGACGTTATCGTGTGGCCCAAGCTCCCGCGAATCATCGGTGCGCCATGGCACTGCGTCTCTACACTGTGCCTGGTACCTTTGTTTTGCGCTAGTATCGCTATGTAGCCAAATTCGACCTCCAAGAAGCACACCACTCTTGGTACTCCTCACCTCACGTATCGCAGGAATATGCTCGCTTCCCCCCAGAGACTGCCTAGACAAATCTAGCTAGCGCTTTTCATATGCGCAACATGCCCCATCGGTGAGTTACATTGTGGCCCGGCAGCCCTTCCCACTAGCCCAATTGTCCTTCTTATTTCATCTTTACTCAATCCTTTCCATATAAAGAGTGTCAGAAGCTCGTGGCATTGGCGCGGGTCCAAATGAAGCCCCGGAATCACACCCTTAATTCGTTCGTGTATAACAGGTGTTGAAGGGTTATAACCGACCGCAACAACAAGGATGTCGTGTTCCTCTATGAGCGTTTCGATCAGACGGGCTGCTTTGGTAGGAATATAGCCGTCGTCTTACACGGAGAGAATGAATGCACGAACTCCTGCATGAAAAGTCTGGTTCATTAATACTCCGTCAAACCCGGAATGAACCGTTATCAGATCAATGTATGGCAGTTGGTCTCCTGGCGAATAACCACTGATGTCCAGCTTTTGCGGCACGTAGCAGCAGTCTGGTCGATCAATAAAATCGACTAGACCACTTTCCACCTTTCCAATCAATGAACAAGGGCCAGCCGTGAAACTACCGTTTTCTTTTCGGAGTCCCCATGGATGCCAGATCTCGCCACTCATGACATGAACAGCCCCATGAACTCTTTTACTCCTGGCAAGTCTAAGTGTCACTGTAAACCCATCCATCATACTTTGTGGCCCGTCCGCGTCATAGGCAGAATGTGGCTTGCTAGCGGCTATGTTCACGACTGGCTTGTCGCTTTCCACTGTAAAGTGTTGGAAGATAAGAAATTCAGCCGTGCCACTTGAACCTAGGATGAGCATAACTCATATCACATCTGGCTCTCTTAGTACTTGATTTGTTATTTGAGATACCACGAAATGATCCGATGGGGTCAAATCAATGCTGTCAATCAACATCATCTGATGAGAGTCCACTTTGAAATATTTGCCGAAAGTTTTTCTGATGGGCCCTACGAGTTGCTCTCCAGGTATAGCACCAGCGACATAATGCGTTGTGTTGGTGGGGGACTCAGCCACAGCACTGATCGTACCCCCTAGGTGTAAAATGACGACCTTGGGAAGACCGGGGATGGGTATGAAGGAGAGGAAAAAGACAAATACAAATAAAAGTCTCATGTTGAATGCGCGATGCTTCGGAGGAATAAGATGTAGTAGATAGATCAGAGACAAAGAATTTCAAGGACACTGGAGGGAATGCAAAATGTGGTGTCTATGCAAGATCAACGGTCTCCTTTATGTTTTGCTTGAGCACGAAACCCCGCACCTTCATTTTGCACAACCACGATTACCATGCATGGAATTGACCAACAGCATAGACTTTTGATCGTTCAAATTGTTTTTCGTGGTAGGCTACATATTATCTTGCCGATCCTGAAGCTCTTCCTCCGGTTAGGGAGCATTCTGTACGGTCGCGTCACTCCATGGTTTGATGTCTCCGTTATTATCTTGCACTGCTCCAAACTTCTGTGGGTGCGTTAGTCCTGATTCTGCAGGTACCATGAGGTACCGCCCGTGCGCTGTAAAGCCCATATTCCAGCCCCACACTAGCGTGCAGGTACTTGCAACTCACCTTGAGCAATCTGACAGCAGCACACCGCTGCGCAGCCTTGATCGGCCAATTCAAATGAGTCCCCGTTCGCGCTAACAAGTAGAGACAATTGAACGAGCTTGCTCACGGAGAACACAGCAAGGGACTATGGCGGGCTGTTTAAGAGGATACAAATTAAAGCCATGATACTTGGCCTGCAAACAAAAGTCTTTCCTATACGCAGCAGCATTTCAGCATCCCGGTCTTTTACCACGGTTCGTGTGGTGTAGATCTCCCGTTCATCAGTAATCTGGTCATCGATCTTATAATCAAACTCATGGTCGGAGCTTTCGATGGAGCCGATTGTTGAGCTGTCTGTATTGAGATTCACAGGATCGTTAGCGTGTTACACAGGCCGGGATGGTATGTACATGTCGGTCGAGACATGTGCTGCAACCAGGCCGTCTTACTGAGAGGTTGATGCGTGGAGATCATTGTCGCAGATGGAAGGCTGGGATGGAAGGCTGGGAGCTTTTTGTGCAACGATGTTGAAAGAAGGTACGAAACGATTGACGACGACAGATCGGTCAGAGTTCAATCCTGAGCAATCACCGTTGGCTTCATGATTAGAGGAACGAAGGATGGTGGAGAAAAGTAAAGGATATCGCGCAGGGGGGAAGTGGGATTTTAAAAACTTCTAATCAGGCTGAGAAACCTTCCAAACTCGCTTCGTTATGTACACAAGGAGCTCTGCATCACACCGACACTCAGTCACAGGGACCCCTTACCGCTTGGATGCAGACACCACCACACTAAGATTTCGTAGGGGAGGGCCTCGATTCCTGAGTAACCTTTTGTTTCATAGATAAAAACGCCCGTGTCATCTGCGTGCCCTTTCAGCGTCCTTCTGGGCAGGGTGAGGCCAGGAATACCATGGCTGTAGACTGTTTTACAGTCGTCTCTATCTTAACGCCATCATTTGTTTCCGTTTCGCAAGTTTCGGAAATCTAAAGAAGAAATGTTCAGCGTGCTTATGCAGGTGACGATAGGATTGGCCGGTATACTTTAGTCTTGATCTGGATAACACCCATCGGTAACGAATCACTATGAGTAGCCTTGGATCTTATCGTAATGGTTATCGACTGCGGACTTGCGAACCTTTTGGCGAGGCTGGTTGGGCAGATGAGGCAACAGCAGGACGATTTGCATGATTCAGACGGTGGACCACCACGTTTCTATATACTAAGTTAGTTTCTATATACATCGAGAGATCAAAGAAACGCCAGTCATCACATTTCCTGTTACAACGTGTGCTTTGACCAATTCAGTCAGAACATAACACGAAGCGAATGAATAGCAGGGTTATAGCCATGTCAATTGAAGCATACTATATAAGAATAACTAACTTAACTTAGTTCAAGACGTAAGTCAGGGGGCTGAGAAGACTTCCACCGGCTGAGTGACTTGAGCTATCATGCTGGCCGATCCACTTTTCCGACTACACGGTAGTCGAAAGAGTGGGTCTCTCGAAAAATGCAAGCGAAGCCGGATTTCTTTGCTTCATTTTTCTCGTTCGTGTTTACTCCATACACCACGCTACCATGAAGACTAGTAACATTGAAATCCTGGGATACATCCTCCTCTTTGTCGCGAAACGCGAAAGCTCATGCTGTCCATTCTTCATTGACTCTAATTCGATCCAAGGTGAAATTTCCGCCGACCAATCATGGGAGCAGTTTATGAAAGCTTGCGACCAGCTCGCGGAGAGAATTCCCCGACACATCAGAGATGTCGCGGGCAAAGAAATTCAAACCAGACGAGGTAACAATCCAGTGGCTCAACAACTTCCAGGATGCCGGCCCAAAAGCATCAATGCCCAGGTATCGCAAACCACCAGAGAGGTTTCGCAATCCACAGGGGCAAGCATACCGTCAAGTATTCAAGCTGGTCCTCATACTGGGATAGAAAGAGTTTCACAAGAGCGTATCTCAAGTTCTTCGAACCAGGATCGACCGTTGGCCCAAAAGAAGAGGACTCCGAGGCAGAAAGACCCTCCGCCCTTTATTTTTCTTGAGGATCTCCAATCTTGGGCTAGATCAGCAAATGGATTTCTCAATGTTGATGAGATCAATATTGATCAATGTTGCATCGCTGGTTACATCACCAAACTTGACCAAACTCAGTATTTCAATGCCATCAGACTACGGTTCGCCCTGTTACAGTTGTTTAAAATACACCAACAATGGCATCCTCGGCCAATGAAGACCTTTCGAGAAAGATTAGGAACGCCAAAATCAACTTTCAACGCCTGGATATCCGAGGGTCGAAACTACAGCTCGCTTGTTTCTCAAGAGGGTCCTGATGTCTTGTTCGCGGAACTTAAATCAAGAACACAGTGAGTCGGCTAACCTTGAGTTCGAAGACGAAGACTAACAATGCTCAAGATGTAGACAAGATGCGGAAATAATCACGCCTAGCCGGAAAAAACGGCGCATCGATGACCCTAGTACGGGCGGTGATACTGAGACCAAAGGCGTTAAAAAAAAAGATTTAACATTTACGTCCGAAGAACTTGAACTTCCCAAGGTATACGTGAAGGATGAGGCCGGCAAGGTTGTTGAGTTTGACGAAAGTCCCAGTAAAGCTAAGGAGCTATTCAAGACCGCCGCGGAAAATATTATAGCACTCTTTGAAGGGCAACGCCAGAACGCAAGACTTCTCGATGACGATGAGTCACGAGAATCATGGAGCGCCACAAATTCGTGCCAGTCTATGTACTGCTCAGTTCCGGCTACGAACGACGACGCCATGGTCGATGCCGGCCAATTCTTGCGACAAAGTCCCACAGAAAGGACCACCGATGATGGGATCAGTAGTTATGGATTTGGATGCACATCGACTAATTCCACTGCGTCTCTACCTGCCGAACAAGTTGCAATACGAAGCTTGCAGGAGCATACAAGCTGGAACGCGACGGGACACCCTTCGCCGTCGCTTGTGGAACCACGACAAGAGGGTACTTCATCAGGTATTGGAGATGCATATAACCAGCAACCTGGCAGCACGCCAAATACACGCTTCTCACCCACAAGTCTAACCCCAAGCCAGCTTCAGTCTCCAAGTAGTCAGCCGGCTTCTGGGCCTCGTGCAGGCCATATTTCACAAGCAGAAGGCTCCAGGTTGTCTGAGCTTTTCCCGTCTAACGGTGATCACGCACTGGCGTCAATTCGGGACTCTACTTTCGACGCTCAAGCAACGAATTATCCAGGTGCAAATAGTCCGAAACTACTTGCGGATTTCAGCGAGCTCTTAGAAGACGATACATGGGGTTTGTGGTATCAGTGATGGTGCTCGTCATTCTTCTCAACCTCAATAGCAGTATAAAAGACACGAATAATTTCCTTAGCAGATTCGCCGATAGTCCCCGTCTTGCCCCCGTCTTTTTCCTTAAATTCCACGCTTGCATCGTAGTTTTTGCCTCTGTCAATGCGTTTTATACTCGTTTCCGGCTTGAGTATTAAAATCTTTCCTGTCTGCCAAAAATGATCTTTCGTCATAGAAGTTGAATTTATTTCGATATTGACAGGAGCTGTGATCAAAACAGCCATGCCCACAGAGTCATCGGGGACTTTGAGCCCAGCGTGGAATCCAAGAATTACGGGAAGTTTGGTTTTCCCTTCGCACTTTGGCTTCAAACCTGCCGAGGGTAGTAGAACTTCTAGAATATGTTTGGCCTCCGGTCCCGTCAGTGAAGAAACTTGATATATTTTTTGGCTTCTGACCTTGTGGCCGATGACCATCTTCGAAAACTTCGCGCATTCTGAGAGACCTTTGTATTGGTAATGTCTTTTATACCCGTCCCCTACCATCGCAGGGGATGCATTCTTGACTGCCTTTTGTAACTTGGCCAATAAAGCTTCAGCTCCACCAGGCAGATCAAGTTCTTCAGCGCCATCACGCAGATCATGTTCTTCAGCGCCATCAGGCAGTTCTAGCGAGCCTCCTGGAAGTGGCGACATCGAAAATAAGACAAGACTTGGGCAATGAAACGAAGAAAAGGCAGCCGACCCTAAGCTTTATACATTGAATATACGAAGCTTCTGACACAATGCAGTCTGGAGAGATGACGTAGTGGTACATGACCTGAATATAAAATATTTTTGAGCATCTGGCGAAAGAGGGGTAATCAGGCTTAGAAACACTAAATACCGTTCAACATGTATTATGTAAGGCTACGCTGTGACCAATCATATTCAAGCCCTTTCGCTTCTCCCAGTTATATAGAAAAATTTCGGCACATGCCGAAATCTACCATCTCAATGTAATCTCTTTCGTTAGGCATCGGACGCATTGACAAAAAAAAGTTAGGGGATGCCACGAAAGGATGTGTGGAGGGACTGGAATTCTCTCGAAAATATTAGCAAGCTGATAGATGCCACGAACACCCGACAAGTACTTACTGTTGGATACCGTTGTTACTTTTTAGGCACGAGAGGCTCAAGACCGTACTCCGCTGTCTCTCTTTCAGTGGCATCAGGTAAGTCTGGAACCACCTCTGTGGGTTTTTCATCCTTGGAGTCATTTGGCTGCTTCTCTTGTATGGGATCTGTTATGTTCTTCTCTCCCGCTTGCCCTGAATCTTGTTTGGAAGAATCCATGGTATGAGCTTTTGAGTTTTCAGCTATTGGATCTCTATTCTGTGTAAGCTTGATGCCGGGGGAGAGCAGATGACCAAACGGTTGACGGGTCTTGAATTATCATATTGCACCCTGATGAGAAGCAGGAAAACTAACCTCAAAGTTTGCGAAAGGTTGTAGGTGAATAAAGAGAGTACCTGGACTTGGAGGCTTGTTGCTGTGATTTCGAGCAGAGATCAATAGAACATTTTATACCTGAACCAAGTTGTCTCCCTCCTCGTTTCTCACTACTGCCACCAGACGACTCTAACTCAACCTCAAAGGTTGATATGCTCAAACAAACACAGATCTCACACTAACCCTGTAGGTGCGGCATTGATTGAGGATGATGGGTTCATGGCGGCTGCATGAAGCGGTCGTATGGGGGCCGCCGTTGTGCAGTTCCCGCAAGATACAGCATCAGAGGTTGCAATATACAGCTCACCTTGCATTCTGTGCCGGGTCAGCTTTGGTGAGCCATCCCAGTAAAATCACCCTGTTCGATTGGGACTGACCATCCAGTATTGAAAGGTGTTCCTGTGAAGTTTTGGCCGTACATGCGGCCACAGCAATTAAGCTAGCCTCATCGCTTTCTCCTCAAACCTGGCGTCGACATAATTCAAGTTGTAGAAATCAGTATCCTATTCTAAAAGAGCTATGCGTCATACCAAGATGCTTTGAAGCGTGCGAGGTGTGATCATCAAGGCTTAGACCTGAAATTGGGATGGTCTTACTTGATTCGAAGGTTGATGTTACACATAGTGCGCAATGATTGTTTTTTTTGGCTTTGTAGACATGCATATAAGCGAACTCAGCCGATCTTATAGAAGATCCACATAAGGTAAAATATTTACTTGTAAAAAATATCTATTGTCTGAAAAAGGAATTACACAGCATAAAGTTTTTTCCAAAAGTGGGGTGCTTGGTCCATTACCCACATGCCTGCCCCACATATCATCCGAGATGTGTGCCTAACTCACGCCTAACGCTGCCATCAAGCATTCAGAACTTATTTCTTCAACACGCGATCATTGATTCATATGGACTGGCATACTACACTACAAACACCGTAACCGCTTTCATACAACCCCAGTTTCGTCTCGGTATCCAACACTTCAGCTTCAAAACCATCATTTTGCCTTCCAGATTGATCTCATGCCCGAGGTACTTGCGATCCGCCATTCTCAATGCACCTGGACGCTGACATTAGACCAGAAAGACAAGACCAACGACGGAGACTTTGAATACATCGACTACCATCACTTCGAGGCCGTTCCTTATGATCGACTGATGTCATGGAAAGGGGGCGAAGGAACTATAAATTGGGATCATGGCGGTGTTATTCGCAAGAGAGCGAATGAGCCACTTGATAATCAAGATCTTCCCAAGGATACTGCCGTTCTTGTAATGGACGCATACTTCAAATTGGTACCTAAATAGGGAAAAGAGAACCAAAGAGCTCTTGGCCTGTTGAGAACCGAAGCATAACAAACAACCTATAATCCTCGTCCTCGGTAGGTACCACTCTCAAAGCTGCTGTCGGCCCTGGGATCCCCAAGTGCTTCTCCTCTTGTTTCCAAAGACTACCGTCCATGCCTTCCGCGAGATAGTCACCAAGCATAATTCTCAACAGCTCTTCATTTCCATCGCGTATTGCGTCAGTGAAAGCTCTTGCTATGGGTGTGCTTACGAAAATTTCTAATTTGAAGTCGCCACCGCTCTCTGCCGCAACGTGGAGACGCACAGCATCGGTCAGATGGTGTTTCTCCTGTGCCCTCTTGAAACTCATGCTCATGCCAATATATAGGAAATTACTGATCGTGATTTGGAGTCTGGAAACGTCTGGCGCTCTCGCTATAAACCAGCTATTTGAGTCCAAAAAAGATGTGAACGCAGTGGAGGACCCCGCACCCAAATGCTCATTTAGGCTTGAGCGTAAACGATGACTAGGCTGGCAGTCCACGTGAGTGGTTTGTTCGGTGCGGCCTCGTCGCAGAAGCTGCAAGAGCTCACGACTACGAAGTTGCCATACGTGTTGCCACCTTTGAGGAATATGTTCTGTGCCAAACTTGATGGCGCCCTCTTCAATCGTTATGTTAGCAGTGACTATGCCATGTATCAGATCAGAGCAAATATTACCAAGTAAATATTCCGATCGCCTCCCGCCATCATCAATCGTTTTACAAAAGAACTGCCAATCGCGGAACAGATCGTTGTTCTTATCAGACTCGTAAGTTTGTAGAACGAGTGGCCTCAATTCGGGGTGGCTCCGTGCAAATGTTTTTAAGTTAGTTGGCGTCGAGAAAAAGGCCAAAGATACAAGCTCATCGATAGGAACATCGCTGAATAGTTCATGCCCTTCGCCAACGATATACTTAATAGTAGCAGCGTGGTTTTGTCTTCGGCGATGAAAAAACTGAAGTAATGGGTGGGGCTTACTGGTGGCCATAATGTGAAAATCTGAGCATGTGTAAAAGTTTTACTTGTAAAAGTTTTACTACCCGTACAGATTTTACTACGAATGGAAAGATTTCCAAGTCATGGAATGATAGCTACGCAGGCGTGATGAAATCTGCACAGTCTTTGGTGCTAGCCACGGGATCAGAAAGGTGGGGCACGAACTAATTACGTTGGTCTAGCTAAGCGCTCTGCGGCTGTCCTCTAGCGACCCGCAAGCGTCCGGGGATCAAAGAGATAAAGCAAAACAAAAACAAAACATCGTACACTAACTTTGAATCGTTTATTATGTGTTGAACCGGTTAGGTAAATTATTGTGCATTCAACTTGTTGTGTTCATTGCTTGTGTTCTATCTGGTTTCTTACCCCTCATTTTGGGCTTGCCTTGCGCTATTCCGATTTGAGACATGTTTAGCCTGATGACTTTGCCTATTGGTACCGCTTACTGCATGGCCGCTTCGGTTTAACATAATGCAAGGTCAACGTTCGCTTTGTGTAAATGAAGTTTCCCTGTCCGTCGATTATGTTATGTTATGTTA